TGATCCTGAGGCACTGCTGGAAGCGGCAGGCGTGGCCCCTGGAAGGGAGGGCCGGGCTGCGCGCTCACGCTGTCCCAGCGCCCACATCCCGGGAGGCGGCCTCCCGGAAGCCCGGGATATGGGTCCGCTCAGGCTCTGCTCTCAGTGCCTATGTCCCTCATCAACCATACTAAAATGTGACTTCAGCGTGTTTAGAATTTAAATGTCCTTCAGGGCCAGAGGGCTCCTGTGAGCTGACATTTGGGGAGATGGCCCAAGCCCTTGCCAGGACCCACAGCTCCAATGCCTCCCACCAGACCCCGTGTCAGCCCGGCCCTCTCCACGACCATGGCGTGGACTGCTATCAGGAGACACCACTATTTGTCTTTTCTGTTAATAACTGTGCATGCAGGAAACCAGGAAACAAGAGAGAAGGAAGAAAACAAAATCTGTCCATAATCCGGACCACTATTAATTAGGCTGGTACCATGAGCGACACAAGCACACCCCCCCTCTGGCTCTCTCCCCGTTGCTATGGCCATACACTCTTGCAAGTAACTCACATTTGGGATTAAAGTACACACACAAGTTTGTTTTCTGTTTTTACCATCTCGTCACTTTCCTGAATGAAAGCTGAGTTACTGGCCATGCAATGTCACCTGACACTGTTCTAGGAACGTGGCACATTTTACCTCTAACTCTGTTTCACAGTCAGGGCGGCCTGCCCCAGTCCTGAGAATACACTCACTGCATATAGAGAGATGCTGCGGGGCATGACCCAGGCCACATCCCACATCACTGCCAGAAGTCCCACAGACCTTAAAAGTGGTGGCAGGGCCCTGGGACATCCAAGGGAGGCTGGGCCAGAACCTGCTCTGACTCTCACTCTGGAGTGTCTTCAGCAGGATGACACTAAGGGCAGCTGAATAAGCCGTGTTAATCTGCTAACTCCAACCCAGATGTTCAAAGGCAAAAATGATACGGAAAATAAAATACTGTACTGAAGCCAACAGACACAGAGCACCATTTGGCATGCATCAGTGCCAATAATTATTAAACATACATCATACTCTTCTTTTATACACAGTCCTAGCAAGCCGCCATGAAGGTTATACCCACAGCAAGGCCCAGCAGAGACGAGCAACAACTCAGGGATCAGGAGCCACACGGAGACCAGGACCACAGTGCGACATGAAGCCTGTCCACCTAGGGCCACCTCTGACAGACCGCACCAGCCCCGCACTGCTGTCACTACCTTCCCCACACGGCGCCTGTCCCCCAGGGCCACCTCCACACACACCCCAGCAGCCCGGCACTGCTGGCCACCACCTTCCCTGCAAGGCTGAGTGGCACATGCCCAAGATGCTGGCTGTGCTAGTGACCCTGGTGTGATGTGATCACTCACTACGTAACCCGTGAGTACGTACAATTATTCTCAACTTAAAAATATTGTCGGCCGAGCCCGGTGGCTCACGCCTGTAATCCCAGCACTTTGGGAGGCTGAGGCGGGCAGACTGCCTGAGCTCAGGAGTTTGTGACCAGCCTAGGCAACACAGTGAAACCCCATCTCTACTAAAATACAAAAAATTAGCTAGGTATGGTGGCAGGCACCTATAGTCCCAGCTACTTGGGAGGCTGAGGCAGGAGAATCGCTTAAACCTGGGAGGTGGAGGTTGCAGTGCGCCAGATCGCGCCACTGCACACCAGCATGGGCAACAGCGAGACTCCATCTCAAAAAAAAAAAAAAAAAAATTGTCTATGACATCTCCCCAAAATATAAAAAAGAAAATAAAATAACTTTTTTTTTTAAAGACAAATTCATACCTTTTTCTAGTGTATAAAGAAGCACTGAGAATAGCAGAAATCTCTACAGTTTGGGTTTTCGCCTAATAAGCACAGTAATAATATGCACAGGTAATTGATTTGTGACCGAGACCAGCTGATCTGCCTACAGAAGTGGAGTATTTTATTGTATACACAGACAAAATAAAGGCTGGCTCCTGCTGTACTTTTTGATTTGAAAATTTCTCACTACACTGAAGGCCTTAAAAGAGAACTCATTGCAAATAGCCTGTTGAGACACTTGGCTTGCCTGCCAAAATTGCACTTGAAGCTAATTAATAGTGCAAAAACACAGGAGCAATCTGTGCAGCTGCTGGGTCTGCAGACAAAGAACATTCCTGAGCGAACCCTCAAACTGCGAGTGTCTTGGAGTGCGGGTCCAGATTCTTTCTCCTTTAAGAAGGGACTGAAGTAATTACATGGCATCGTGTGCATTCCACATCACGGGGATGGAAAGAATGGAGAACGTGAAGTCTGGCCAAACCTTAGAAACAGTTGTTCCTCTGTGGCCTGGGGTGACAAGCCATCTAGCCATTATGCAGGATGCTGTCAGCTCCGGGGCAGCCAGTGGCCTCGTGCGGGAACCCTCGTGGGCTCTGAGTCAGAGGCCGGGTGCAAATCAGAGTTCCCGAGTCCCTGCTACATGAGTAAAGAAACCCAGGAACTGGCCTTCCTTCCAGCAAGTTCTACCTCCACAGAAACTACCTGATTAAAAGTGCTTTGGGCCAAGCGCGGTGGCTCACGCCTGTAATCTCAACACTTTGGGAGGCCGAGGAGGGTGGATCATGAGGTCAAGAGATCGACACCATCCTGGCCAACATGGTGAAACCCTGTCTCTACTAAAATACAAAAATTAGCTGGGCATGGTGGCACATGCCTGTAGTTCCAGCTACTCGGGAGGCTGAGGTAGGAAAATTGCCTGAACCAGGGAGGCGGAGGTTGCAGTGAGCTGAGATCACACCACTACACTCCAGCCTGGCGCCTGGCAAGAGCAAGACTCTGTCTCAAGGAAAAAAAAGTGCTTTTGGTTTTGGGGGAAACAAGCTTTTATAAACTTCAAAGAAACAGAGCAGGGAGTGCTTGAAGGAGAACAATCCAGGCCAGCCCTGGGGCACGCCTGCAAACCAGGCCTGAGAGAAGTATTTCTGGGAAAAGCTTTGGCTCAGAGCCCCGGTGGATGCCTGGCCAGACCCACCCCTGGACTCCGGGGTCCTGAGCAGGTGTGGGACCCACCAAGGGCATCGGAGCCAGGAAGGGGAGCATCTCTAGGTGACTCAGGCAGGCAGCAGGAGGCACAACCTGAACAAAGAAACGCAACTGAGCACGGCCAACACTGCCAGCTTACGGCCGTGGTCCCCAGGATAGCACCAAAGCCACTCTCCTCCCACATGCCCGTGGGGAGGCCGCCCTGGGTGCTGCAGGCCTGGCCGCCTCTCTTGTGCCCTGGGCAAAGGCTGTTCTGGAAGAAAAGCTTCTGTTTGGTGCCCTGTTAGGAAAGTGTCTGTCGCCATGAAGCTCCCGCAGACTCGGGGCAAAGCATCACCAACACTGCTGGGCTGACAGCGACAGACGCCAGAAGCCCGGCAGAGTGAAGACAAGAGTGTTTAGCCTTCTCACCATCTCCATTTTGTTTCTAGAGACAAAAAAATAAATATGGAAAAATAGCCTAATGAAGTGGGGTGGGCCCACCTACCAGGCAGCCATGCCCATGCACACACTGTCAGGACAAGGCTGAGCGCCAGGGCCTCAAGGTGTCCGGGGCTTGTGCTTTTGCTGCCACCAGCAGCCCAGGAAGACGGTGCTCCGGAGGCACGCGGGACCTTGAGCCTCCAAACTCCGCAGGGCACCGGATCTCGGGTCCCACGAGATGTGTCTGCTCTGGCTCACCTCACAGCGCTGGAGTGCGGCCCATCACTGTACCAAGGCAAGCACCAAGAGGGGTCTGCCGTTAGCTGCACTGCCCTGGCCGTGTCATTAAGCTGACTCACTGAGGAACTGTGAATTTTCTTGCAGTGAGAAATTAGCAACCATTTAAGAACAGAGCTGGGATAAATCAAGCTGTCTACAACTCAAAATAGTTCTACCAGTTGGGGCCATTAATATGCTGCAGAGAACATAAAGGGGGAAAATTGGCTCTCACCGCAGCCAAGCCCTGGAGGCCATAAAGAACACTCTCCGCTGCGATCTGTCACACTCGGCACTCGAAGACCACCCTGCGGCCCACTGAGTCCCCTCTGCTGCATTCCTGGAAGCCATGGTGGTCTCTGCACTAGCAGGGGGCAGGCACAGGCCCCTCCTCAGGACGCCCCCGCGGCGGTGGGTCGAGGCAGTGAGCAGGGCGGCCAGCCTCGCTACTCAGAGGGGACTTTGAGTCGGCCGGGCCAGCTGTGCTCACTCCAGGCGTGCACAGGAAACGCAGCACAGAGCAGGGAGCCGGGCCTGGCCTGTCCTGCCCAAGAGCACTCCCTGCTCCCAGACTACGGACAGAGATTCCCATGAAGAGAGCCGAGTGCTTGACGAGCGATGAGCCCTCACCAAACGAAGCATTCAGTGCTGCGGACTGGGTACCATAAAGGTGCATCTCACACGTGGAAGAACCTGAGTGGTACCGTCAAAACAGTAAACGAACTGAAAATGCATTAAAACGTGGCTCTTCCAAGGGGACAGCCACTGCCCCACAAAACCCACTTCCCAGCCTGAACCAACACAGACAGGGCTGTGGCCAGTAAGTCTGCTCGCAACCTGCCAGGCACCCACACACTGCCCTGTACGTTGCGACCCCAAGCCCCTTGCCTCTCACCTGTACCTCGAGGCGGGACGCCACTGCCCACAGAGGGCACAGGAACTGGGTCCAACACTCAGGGCTGTGACACACAGCTCAGAAGCAGCCACGGTGCTGACCCTGCCATCCAGGGACACTCTGCAGCCACCCTCTCCCAGAGGTGACGCCTGGCCCGGTGAACCTGACCCTGCATGGCTCTTTCATCCTTCAACAGCTGCACAAACCACTTCCCAGCCTGAACCAAGACTGCGTAATACCTGCTGACCACATTTAAAGGCTAGCAAACATGTCAAAACAAACAGAACAGCTAAGCAGAGGATCCACACAGAAAGAGGCAGCCTGCACAGTGCTATAAACCCACGGCCGGGAGACCTGTGCAGAGTGCTCCCCTCACAACCACAGGAGCCGGTTCTCCTCTGCACCAGCTGCCTCCATGGGACACAGGCCGGGGGGCGGCCCTCAACAAGCATAGAGACACGGACCTACAGCAGGTGCCTCCTCCGACCACAGCAGACAGAAGGTGGCAACACGGCAAACTGAAGCGTTCACAAATCAAACGACCAACAGGTGAAGGAAGGGAAATAAGTAAATTCTCAGAGATGATGAAAACAAAAGCACAATACACTAAAATCGTCATGGCTGCCTAATGGCGTGGATGCATCCCAAGGAACCGTGGCTCGGGGTCTCGTCGTGGGGCAACGCTAGAGCAAGGCACACACACTGAGGGGGCAGGGCCTGCGGTGTCTGGCTGCAGGCCCGCACAGCACGCCGTGGCACCGAGGTGCACAGGCAGCTGGAGCACCACGGCAGGCACCTGCACATCTCAACGTGGGGAAGGTGCGGTGAACATGCACCATAAGGACGGGAAACATCACACGGCGTAGGGCAAGTCCCATGAGCGGTCTGGCAGGCCTGGACGCTGCCTGGGTGCATAGCAAGTGAGGGTGAAGGCCCAGGCCTGACTGAACATTGTTGTGAACTTCATCAATACCGCGCACTGAGGCTCCACTGCATTTACGTTACAAAATCTTTCTTTAGTAATAGCTGAGCCTCAGCTTCCTGTAACTTTTGCACATTACAAACTTTACAATTGTTTTTAACATTGTTCTGTAATAAAACTTAGCTTGGCCGTTGCTCTCCAATGCCAGCGCCGCCTCTTGCTCGCCGAGCTCCAGCCGAAGGAGAAGGGGGGTAAGTAAGGAGGTCTCTATATCATGGCTCATACAAAGCAGACTGCCCGAAAATCTACCGGTGGTAAAGCACCCAGGAAGCAACGGGCTACAAAAGCCGCTCGCAAGAGTGCGCCCTCTACTGGAGGGGTGAAGAAGCCTCATCATTACAGGCCTGGTACTGTGGCACTCCGTGAGATTAGACGTTATCAGAAGCCCACTGAACTCCTGATTCGCAAACTTCCCTTCCAGCGTCTGGTGCGAGAAATTGCTCAGGGCTTTAAAACAGATCTGCGCTTCCAGAGCGCGGCTATCGTTGCTTTGCAGGAGGCAAGTGAGGCCTATCTGGTTGGCCTTTTTGAAGACACCAACCTTTGTGCTATCCACGCCAAATGTGTAACAATTACGCCAAAAGACATCCAGCTAGCACGCTGCATACGTGGAGAGCGTGCTTAAGAATCCACTATGATGGGAAACACTTCATTCTCAAAAAAAAAAAAAAAATCTCTTCTTCCTGTTACTGGTAGTTCTGAATGTTAGATAATTTTTTTTCCATGGGGTCAAAAGGTACCTAAGTATATGATTGCGAGTGGAAAAATAGGGGACAGAAATCAGGTATTGGCAGTTTTTCCATTTGCATTTGTGTGTGAATTTTTAATATAAATGCGGAGACACAAAGCATTAATGCAGGTTAAATGTTTCAGTGAACAAATTTCAGCGGTTCAACTTTATAATAATTATAAATAAACCTGTTAAATTTTTTTGGACAATGCCAGCATTTGGATTTTTTTAAAACAAGTAAATTTCTTATTGACGGCAACTAAATGGTGTTTGTAGCATTTTTATCATACAGTAGATTCCATCCATTCACTATACTTTTCTAACTGAGTTGTCCTACATGCAAGTACATGTTTTAATGTTGCCTGTCTTCTGTGCTGTGTCTGTAAGTTTGCTATTAAAATACATTAAACTATTTAAAAAAAAAAACTTAGCTTAAAACACAAATATTATACAGCTGTGCCGGAATAATTTTTCTTCATATCTTCATCCTATATCCTGTTTTCTCTTTTTAACTTATTTTACTTTTAAAACCTTTTTTTGGCCAGGGACAGTGGCTCATGCCTGTAATCTCAGCACTCTGGGAAGCTGAGGAGAGAAGGTCACTTGAGCCCAGGAGTTCAAGACCAGACTGAGCAACACAGAGAGACTCCATGTCTTAAAAAAAATTAGCTGGATGTGGTGATGCACACCTATAGTCCTAACTAGTTGGGAGGCTGAGGTGGGAGGATCACTTGAGCCCGGCAGGCAGAGGTTGCAGTGAACCCAGCTCATGCCACTGCACTCCAGCCTAGGAGACAAGAGTGATATCCTGTCTCAAAATAAAAAATACAAAAAACCTTACTACAAAGCTACAGTAATCAAAACAGTGACGTTAGACCACAGAATGGAATTAAGTAAGAAATCAGAAATAGAATCTATCTATGGCTGATGGGATTTTCAACAAGGGTGTCAAGACCATTCAGTGGGGAAAGAATGGCTGGTTTACCAAATGGTATTGGGAAAACCGGATCTGCACACACAGAATAAAGCTGGGTCCTCACCTCACTCCACACAGACACTAACTCGGAATGGGCTCACACCTAAAGAGGAAACCAAAACCACAGAACGCAGGGGTAAAGCTTTATGACCTGCGGGTCTTGGAGCATTTCCCTTGATAATATGGGGGAACCACTGTGTACCCCAAAGACTTGAGAGCAGGGCCTCAAACAGATGCTCACATGTGAACGCTTAAGCAGCATTCTCCACACGGCTCAAAGGAGGAAACAGCCACGCGTCCGCCCGCAGTGGAGATGGTCAGCCAGCGCACTGAAAACCACATGCCGACGAAATGAGCAGGCACAAAAGGACAAGTGCTGCATGGCTCCCCTGCCATAAGGAACCCAGTGTGGCAGGCTGGCAGAGACAGACGCAGAGTGGTGGCAGGGTCTGGGGCAGAAACATGGTTCGAGTCTCACAGAAACAGTTTCTGTGTGGGATGGAGGGGGGGGTGAATTTCATTAACCACTGAATCATATATTAAAAATGGTTAAAATGGCAAAATTTGTGTTTTATATATTTCACCATAATTTTTAAAAATGGAATGAAGAGAAACTCCCCTCTGCCTTCCACAGCCAAGGCCTCTGTGACACCCAGCACTTGCCCGGCACACAGCCTTCATTACCGCAACAACTAGGAGGACAGCAAAGGCTCAGGGTGGGGCGAGTCCTCCAAGCTTCAAGACCCACTCAGCACTCCGTCTCTGCTCAACCACTCAGCCGGCGCAGCCTGGGAGTGGCCTTGGGAGGGTTCAGCAGGCACTGGCCTTCACCCCTCAGTTCAGGTCCCGCACTCTCTCCCGCCAGGTCCCTTGCAATGGCAGTTTCCCAGGTACCCCCTGGGTAACTGAGAGCAGCTGGTGTGAGCACTGAGCATCAGGACCCCTAGGGCGGTGCCTGGCACGGCCTCCTGTCCCCATCACTCTGAAGCCACGGGCCCTGCTCAGCCCAGCATCCTGGGTCCTCCACAGTCATGCCCAGTGCAATGGGGGCTTGGAGGTGTGGGTACAGGAGAGGCTCACCAGCAACAGCAGAGGGTGCAGGGGGTAGGGGTGGGCAAAGCGCACAGAGGCGGGTGAGCAGGTGCTCACCAGCATGAGCCCATTACCAAAGAGCACGCAGGCTAGAAGGGAAGGCGTGGTGTTTCCCTGTGATGCTGCCTCCACACAGCCGCCGCAGGTCTGAGTTATGGGGCGCCCTCGAGCCTTGTGCATGCAGGGCTCCCATGCCTGGTCCAGGAGCCCCTGGGATGTGGCCTCCTACTGTGTGGATGTCGGGGGCTATAGGGAACCCTGTCCCCACTCCTAGGCTCTTCTGGATCAGCGTTTAGAAAGTGCATGTGACGTGGTGTCAGGATCATGAGTGACAGGAACTCGCAGTGAAGGCACAGATCCCCAAACATTCAGCTTAGTTCAGTGCCCATCTGACTGATGTCAAGGCCATAGATAAAAACAGCATCACAAAACCTCGTAGCTCCCTAGAATTGACCTCCTGTCTGCGTTGTGATGAATACGTGACATGAATAGCCTGGAAAAGTAGGAAGGCATAAGATGCTGAGTGGAGGAGTAGTCTGGCCTCCCCGTCCCTCCTCACTGACAGGCAAGGCCCACTCCTGCCTGGCTGGTCTCAGAGGGTGGGTGCCTCGTCCAGTGTCCTCCCAGAGCCCAGGCCCACCATCCCCTCTGCCTATAACTCGCTCTCCGACTCCCAGGGCTGGGGTGGCCCTTTCTCCACACTCCCACGGGGGCCAGGCAGGAGAGCAATGCTTGTGTCAGGTATGCTCAGGACAGATCACGGTGTCCACACAGTGTCCCCCCTGGGGACTGTGGGGGCCAACGTCACATGGGGCTGTCAGCCCCCGACATGGTCAGTGAGCTCAAAGAAGACAGGGTGGTCACACACTGATCAAGACCCTTAGTCCAGGCAGGGAGACACTCTTGTGAATATGATTCTCTTATGTTCATTAGGTCTGCAGGAAACCACTGACATCCTCCCGCCCCAGGACTAGGAGAGGACACAGGTGGCTTGAGGGACGTTTACATTAGAGACATCAGGGACAGAGAAGTGAGGGAAGGCAGACCAGAAAGTGGGTCCCTGAGGATGATACAATGTGTTCTCCACTTCCTAAAAAAGAAAAACACAAAAGGAAAGAAAGGGACGTTACCTTCTGAAGATGGTTTCATAGAAAGCAGGGAGCCCCAGAATGACTGTGGAATGTTTCAGCAAATCACCAGAGCAGGTCCACGTGGGACTGATGCCAGAGGCGGGCAGAGGGTTTCTGCCAAAGATGCGAGGACAGAAACACCTGGGTCCCCCCATGCCCAGAAGCCGCCAGCCCACATCCCCATGTGAGCCCCACGAGAGGCAGCCCGGCCGCACTCTCAGACTCGCCCGTCGCGGCCCCAGGCTCTGCTTCCTGGGAACCCTCTGACTTGCACAGGACGAGTCTTGTGGCTTTCCTGTTACCATGTGTGTTTGCATTTGCTGTTTATGGAAATGTCAGAGGCAGTGGCAGACCGGCCGCCCCATGCCACGAGGCAAGAGGCTGAGGCATCACCCAAGCACCCACTGGGACCTGCACCCACAGGGACCAGCCATGGCATGTCCGTTCCCGGCAGGAGCCACGGCAGGAGTACAGCAGACTTCTTTCCCATCGGCCACCAGTGAGGCTCCCACCCACTCTTCCACCAGACCCAGTGTCTGCCTACACTGAGTGTCCACCTGGTTCCTCCCAGGAGACAGAGGGACATGGACACAGCAGCCCCAAAGCAGAACAAGATAGATGACGCCACATGAGCTGGAGTGTCCCAGGGAACTGCCAGATGCCACCTCCACTTCTACCATGTCCAGGCCCCACATCCATGGCGTGGCCCCCAGCGGATTCCACAGCCGCAAAGAGGAGCAGACAACAGAAGCAAGCCGAGGGCTCTGCAAACTCACCTTCCTCCGCCCTCCACAGCCACGTGAGCAGCAGCCAGGACCCCGCAGAGCAGAAAGCGGGGCTCGCCGCACCATCCCCACCTGGGCCCTGCCTGGCCTTTGTGGTCACAGCCGCGCTCTCCTGAGCACCCCCTGTTGCAACCCACACCACCACTGGGACACATTTCAGCGTGATGGCTTTAATAGCATCTGCAACAAAAACCACAGCTGAATGCAGGGATGAAGGGGGTTTCGAGCATTTTTGTTTTCCCCAGAAATGTAACTCACTCTGGCTTCTGCATGAGCTTCAACTGTGCACTAGAAATTCTCTAAATAGGAAACACATGTATTGCCTCAAAAAGACGGTCCCCTGTTGTAACCAGGCCCCTTTTGCAAAGAAGGCAGCCCGCATCTGCCCAACATGCTGCCCTTACCCCTCAGGCCCGCCAGGCCTTCCTGGGCCCTCCCCAGCCATCCCTCAGGTCACTGCTTCCTCCCGCTCCGCCGCTGGCCTTGATGCCAGAGTCCTGAGTGTGGAGGCTGCTCCTTCCGGCGCTGAGTCACTGGGCTTGCTGGGTCTCTAATGATGACTCCCACGCAGTCCTGGGGAGCCCCGCTCACCCGAAGCTCACACAGTCACCTGAGCACCTCCCCATCGCTCCCGGGTTTGAGGTGAAGAACATGCCACACATGGCAGGAGAGCCTGACGTGTGGACACTGGAGGGCCTCTCCAACTACATGGCCACCATCACAGTCAACAGATAAGCTTCCGACTTTTCATCCTAAAACTTTGTTCCTACTTCAGTCTAAACACAACGGTGGAACACAGCAAGCATCTCGGCCATGGACACCTTTGTGGGGTGTGGGAGTGGGGTGTGCTCACATTCTGCCAGTCCCAGCTATGTACCCTGAGGCGCTCTCAGGAGGATGGCTGCGGAAGAACCAGGTAAGCCTGTCTTTATAGTATTGGGATTTCTCAAAAACCCTGAGCAAACGAGACCTGGGATAAGAACGTTCTGGAGGCAATGAGTGTACCTGAAGGTGACTAGGAACCTGCACAGTGAGCTGGCTACACCTACCAGGCAGCACTGTGTGTGCCATTACCAGACATGACTAAGTGAGGCTGGGAGGAAAAAGTGACAAGCTGTGTCCACTTGAA